CTTCAATATTTTCTTCATCATAGTCCTTGCAGATAACAGAAGAAGTTATTTTTTTGTAAAAAACGTCATTAGATTAAGCTTTGAAGAAAATAAGCAACTTAAAATGTAAACCATAAGAAAATGTAAGATATATATAAGTGTTGATATGGTTGCACGATAAGTTAGTATCAAATAATATATTCGTATTATTTATTACATTTTTTTTATTGCTATATAGATGTTCTGAATTTAATGTGTTAACATAAATCATTCTTAATTATTACCAATCAATCTTGTGAATTAAATTTATACAATACTCCCTCTGTTTTTAAAAATTGATGTTTTAGACCTTTCACATATATTAAGAAAACTCATTAAGTTTTGATTGTAAATGCATTGTTTTTTTATGAATAAATTTTTTCCATAGCTTTTAGCCAATATAAATTCAATAAACACCATTAATTTTTTTGAAACTTACAATTTTTCATTAAATCATACATTGAAAAGGTAAAAAATCAATTTTTTTGAAATTTGATTTTTTTCCAGAACATCAATCATTTAGGAACGGAGGGATCGTATATGTTATGTGATGTTGTAATCATCGTTAATTGGTAATCATTAATGTGGTAAATGTGGACATATTTTTCATTCAAGGCAAGTTGTGAGAATTAAATAATAAACAAGTAATAATATAATTGTTAAATGACGATAATAATAACTATAAAAATGACATTATTATATATTGAGATTTGAAAAAAAATAATCTAATAAAAATATAACTAAAAAACAATAGCAAATACATTGACTAAATAATAACATGTCATTAGAACGAAAATTAGATAATTTCATCTCTTCCAACAGATTATTACTAAAACATGAGTGTTATTACAATGCAATTATTTTAAAAATTGTCATGAGCACAAGAAAAGACTCAATGTGTTTTTATTTGAAATAAATAATAATGAATAACCCGGATACTGACAAAAGACTAAATGTGTTGTTCCTGGAAACTATTCACAAATAAATATTTTTAAAAAAATTCGAGATCACTCGCCCTTGATTTTTTTGTGGGAATTTTTTTTGTTGACAGAGTGTTGATCCTCCAAGGTTACTGTCATGATCTTCTTGGTTTTTTCTTTTGGACAAATGAGTTCCTGAAAAATCACCACAAGGAAATATCACCTAAGGACTGCAACATCATGACCTGCAAGAAAAATAGTTCATCTCATTAGTATGCTATTGTAACTATAAAATCTAAGCAATTATAAAGTGTAATACCGATTTAGGAGGCAAAACAGAAAATATTAATTTTTTATAATAAATATTTAAACGGAATAAAGAAAGTTATTAGATCTACAATATCATAAGCTGATTTGAATTAAATCTTAGTTTTCTTGTGCAAGTTATATTAATTTAAAATAAGGCATGAAGCAATTTAAAGAAATATATTAAAAAATTGGAAAAAATTCATAATAAGCCATGAAGCAATTTAAAGAAATATATTAAAAATTGACTGTCATAAATTTGCAATAATTTACATACCATTTAAGACAAGTAATTGATGGCAAAATAAGGTAATCAACATATCAACTTGCGCAAGTAATTGAAAACAAAATAGGGCAAGTTATTAATAAACGGATTAACTAATTAAAAACTTTTACCAACAAGGTATATCTTTCTTAATACCATAATATGAGTATAAAATTAAAGAATAATAAATAGTTTTGATTTTGATATATTGTAAATCTATAGAAATATATAACACAATCCCATAGAAACCTGCAAAGAAAATGTAAAAAAAATTTTAAATATAACTCATAAGTAATATAAAATAAGAAGAATAGTTATGAATTAAAAATATCCCATAGAAACCTGCAAAAAATTGTCAAATTTTGTTAGCAACTGTACAATATAAAATAATTTAATAGATTTCTAAATTTTATCGAGACGAAAATAATATTAAATTTGCATATCGCTATTGTAACAAACTGAAAAATGGTTTGTAGTTAACTACAACAGGTCTTTCGTCTGTGTTATTTATCTGTTAATAGAAAAAACAAACAAATGTAAGAATTTATAAATTTAAATTTTTTTATCAAATAAAAATAGACTAATAAGTTAGTATTGACATCCCTTAGGTGTTTCCTTTATATATACTCCACCTTCCTTTTTTCTTATGTTATTAGGGAAATATTTTCATAACAAATGATGTTTAGGAATATAATTTCATAAGAAATAATGAAACAGTACAAAGAAAAATATTAAAGTTATATTGTCATTAAATGATTTACAATTAATGTTTTATAAAACTTGTGCAATTAAATCATATTCAAAATAAGGTAAGTTTTTAAAAACGAATTAACAAATTAAAAACATTAAGGTAAATTGCATTAAAACAATGTAATAAATATGATTTGAAGTTGCACAAGTAATATGTGTTCAAAATAAGTTTATAAAGATGAATTAACAAATTAGAAACATTAAGGTAAATTGCATTAAAACAATGTAATAAATATAATTTGAAGTTGCACAAGTAATATGTGTTCAAAATAAGGTAGGTTATTAATAAACTAAAAACATTAAGGTAAATTACATTTAAACTATAGATATTTAAATATTAAATGATATATAATAAGGAAAGAATAAATATAAAAAGTAGTTGATACAACTTTTTCATTAATAAATATTACTATATATATTTAATTTTAATTAAAAAGATCATATAATTGCAAACCAAAAAAAATATATCAATTTTAATTAAAACTATCATAAAACAAAATCACAATCAGCAAACCAAAGAAATATATATGTATATATAAGCTTATAATTCTAATTGATAATATAAATCTACTAATAAAAAAAAAGTATTGGCAGCACAAAAAGATGCTATTGAAATGATATATTTTTTACCACATTGAGGAACAAATATGTTATCGAAATGATATATCAAAGAGGTGTACAATCAAATCATATATAGCTTCAGTGGAGAAATCGTCATAATAGGATATCTGCATATAAACCAAAAGAAAAATCAGCTCTCAATCTATTCACGAGATGATATAGCTGAGAGACGTTATTAAATAGAGAATTTTTTTTACCAGATTGAGGAACAAAGATGTTATCGAAATGATATATCAAAGAGGTGTACAATCAAATCATATATAGCTTCAGTGGAGAAATCGTCATAATAGGATATCTGCATATAAACCAAAAGAAAAATCAGCTCTCATGAAATATAAAAGCTTAATGTTCTAAAATAAGAAGAAAAGCAAATTCAGAACATTATNTCGTCATAATAGGATATCTGCATATAAACCAAAAGAAAAATCAGCTCTCATGAAATATAAAAGCTTAATGTTCTAAAATAAGAAGAAAAGCAAATTCAGAACATTATTAACATAAAAAGTTCAGAATACAAAGTTCAATGATTTCATTTCTTCTACTGTGAATGTCTTATTTATAGTAAATTGATGGACGTTTCTCAATTATTTAGCTTGCATGATAAGCTAAGAAATAACATATTCTCTAATAAATTCTCAATAAATCTTATACTTTTAAGGTAATATAATTTTTGGAATATCTTGTTGATAAAGCTAAAGGAGAACATCTCGTGAGAAAATATTGGTTTTAGAGAGAAAATATCTTATCAAATAATTTTGTTTTAAATGCATGATTTTAAAAGTGAAAATATCTTGTCAATTAATTTTGTTTCTCTGAAATCTAAAATATTTAATGAGTATTTAATGAATTAAACAGGGAAAGGATCGCAAAAGGATGTTCTTTGAATCGAGAAAACACAAAAGGTAAGTATTTAAATGGATTTCCTTTTTTGTAGTGTTGATGGTAAAAATAAATCAAAAAAAATAAATTGTAAAAAATCAACCAATAGAATCGCTAGAATTCTTCTGATAAGGGTCGTGTGAGTGTCATGTGTCAAAGTGACTTCTCTTTTAATTTCTCTTTTAATGTATAGGAGGATTGCGAATGGTTGTTATGGAGTTATAACGGGCTTCAAAGATTTAAATTATAAGGCCCATTATATTCATTTCCTTTTCAACGCCCCAATATCTTCAGTTTTGTGTTGTAGTTGTATTTGTATATATGCGGTAAGTAATAAGATTTCCGTTTTTCAAATGCCCAAAAAAAATAAAAACAAATTTTCGTTTTTCATATGCATGAACTATAAATCTAAACTATTAAAAGTAAAGTACAAGAAACAAATAACCCTTAATTTTTTTTCAAAAATTATAATAAATTGTTACACATTATAGTTTTGTTCTCATATAAACTTTGATATAGGTTTAAGGTCTATGAATTTGAAAGCAAAATCAAATTGTCCAATTCAATTTTAAAAATAGTCTTTGTTAATAAAATTGTTAGAATTTTTATTTTGTGTGAATATTTTTCAATTATTGTTCTTTAAATAATTTATTTTTAAAAAATATCTATAAAATATAATTTAGATTATAATTTTAATCACAAATTTGTAGTATAATTTAATAAAACACACAGTCTAAACAATATACTCTAATATTTTATTTAATTATTTAGTTTATCAAGTAAAAAGTAAATATCAGAAAACTACGATTTGATAGTTAAAAAAACACTAAACAAAATAAACAAGATACAACGACATTAGAACTCACTATTTTATGAAACATAAATGTTTTTAACAACTAATACAAACATATATCTATATAAAACATACATCTGCGCATGCGTGTGCAGATCAATCAAAAGCTAATTAGGTTGATTTGTTAACCAAGTTTATCAAGTTTGATTTAGCTTGTGACCTTAAATTTTAGAGTTAAACTTATATATATATATATATATATAATATTTTGTTCACGTTTCAACTTTATAAGATAAATATAAGTAATATAAAATTATATTTTACCAAAAATCTAAGACTTTTGTAGGAAAAATAGACATTATTATAATCAAAAACTTATTTAAATTTTCAAACATAAACATATATTAGTTTGTAGCCTCTTCACAAATTTATTGATTTTGAACTAAATATTTCTTTTTCACATTTTTAAAATATTTAACTTAATAGAAATCAAAGACAGAGAGATAATTGAACGCATTCATTAGATTTTACTGCGCAACATATAAAATTTTAATTTGAATCAAAAATATGTTATCGAAATTTTGTTGAACTTTATTTTCATAAGGAGATTGAACCAGCAATTTGAATCAGAATCAACTAAGTTGAAAATTAAAAAGTTTGTCTAAAATATTATAAAAAAAAACAAAAACAATTAGAAGTGGATGGGTATATTAAGTGAGATTTTCTTAAAAATAACTACAAACAAAAGAACACAGTTATTTTATCATTAAAATGGCTAATTATTTAAACATAAATAACAGTTTTATAAAATAGTATGACTGACTTTATAGAAGCAAAATCATTATATTATTGTACGAGTATCAATTTAAATCACAATCATCATGTTTAGTGTTTTTTTGTTCTTTCTATCAAATCTTTCTTCTTGTTATTTCCTGAGTCAAGTAAACCAATTAGCTTTTTCAATTATGGGCTTCTTATAGTTTTCAGTTTTCTGTTTTACTCTATGGAGTTTTGTGTAAAATCTTTTATGGGTTTTACATTTTAACATTATAAGACATTTTGGCATACTGTAGCCCTTGTATGCGGATTTGTATTCTACACTGTAGAACGTTAATTAGTCTCTTTTATGTGAAAGAAAAGTCTTATTTTTCTGTATTACTGAAGATTGAATAACTTTTTGTGAGGAAAAATGGAAAAAAAAAAAAAGAAAGAGAAAATGATGAGAAAAGCCGCACGAGTCGCTTCATTGGATTCCCTTGGCAGATGTTATCCTCTGCCTCGACACTGCGGCCATCCCCACTAACTCTTCACATATTTCTCGTCTCTTTGCTTTCACTAATTTTTTTAACATATCTATATTTCTAATTAGTGGAAGATAACAAAAAGAAAAAGGTGAACGTAACTGTGATGAAAGTGGATAAAGAACCTACATTAATCTGTAAAATACAACCCAAAGATAGCTTTCTTTTACATACACAAAGGTAAATAAAGTTTCACACAAAATTGAGCTTCTCTAAAAACAAACTGATATAATTTATTTAAAGTAATAATTATCATCATCCATCATTTTTTTTTCTTAATAGTATGAATCATAAATTTAAATTAATCCGGCTGACTAACTTTGGTGTTACACATTTTTTGAAACAAGTCGGTGTTACATAATTTACAAAAATAAAGTGAAATGGTAATGCTTGAAGTTCATGGTCCTTGTATTATTTGTACGTGGAAGTAATATTGTGATTTTGAAAAACTGCATAAGTCTCTCAGAAACTATTTTTTAACTTTATATATATTAAGATTAAGAGCTGTGTCTGTGTGCATGCATGAAGTTATGAGAACCTGTTTGAGAATCACAAACTCAACTGTGTAAATCTGTAACTAATTAAAGACGATCGTTGTTGTGTTAATGTTGTTGGGACCTAGACTCTGCATGTGTGATGTTTCCACATAGAAAGTGACTGTTTCCATCGATCAAATGAACGATGAAAAGTGAACAAAAACTCAAGCAATATGAACAAACTAGCGACGAATTACGATACGTTAGGTGAACAAATCTCTCAAACCATGCCCAATATACAGAAACCGACAAAGCTAATAGGTCCAGAATTAAAGTCATGTAGCAACCTAACACATAGCACTTAAAGAAAAAGAGAAGAAAGAAAAATATTAAATAATAAAAGGTTATGCATCAATTATAGTTTAAACCATAGTTGATTTTAATATACCCTACCACAAAACTCAAACCGACTTCATTCAAATTATCTCTCAAAAAACAAGCGCCAAAGGAGCAAAATGTTCAGAAAAAACAAAGCAATAAGAAGAAAAAAAAAAACAAAACATCACTACAAAATTAGAAACCATTACAATATACTCTTCGTTATTGTATTAACAAATCAAAGAGATGAAATCTTGATCATCTTCACATACTACTTTCTTTATCGATTGATCCTAGGCAACAACAACAAAAAGACTAGAAATATTAATTCAAATCTATTTATTGGTGGTTTGCTTTGACGAAGAAGAGCTCTATCTCTGGAGGAGCAAAGAAAACAATCTGTCTCCGTCGTAACACGCAGTTTTGTGGGACTCTTTGCTTCTTCGGCGCCGGTGGACACGTCAGCAGCTCCGGTATCCGAGACTTCTGAGATTTTGGGGTACAACAACCGCCGCCGACACCACCTTCACCTGGTGACGACGTCAGCTTCTTCGGAGAAGGAGAGTGAACAGAGTAGCCTGTGGCTTTAGGAGAAAACGACGTCGTTGTGGAGGAACAAGAAGAGACAATAGTCGTCGATGAAGTATGGTCGAGACTAGTAGGTGTGTCGGTGTTTATGTGTTGTGGAAGTTGTTTCTTGAAATTGGTTCTTTTGAGTTTCTTCTCAGCTCGGTTTGTTTTCCTTGCTTTTTTTGATGCCATTTTAGACCTAATCAAAAGAGAGTTTTTTCCAAGAAAAAAGAAAAAGATGAAGAAGGCTTTTCCCTTTGTTATGTGAGAGAAAGAGAGAAAGAAGAAGAAGAGAGTCGCTGCTTATTAGCTGAAGTTAGCATATATATTACATTATTACATATTATATAGTATGAGACACCAGTCAACAAGTTAGTGGGAGTGTCACTTAAGTTTCTAGATTTTGACTACCTAGCGTTTTCACTGGGCGAACCAAATAAAAAGCGATGGACTTATCTTTAAAAAGGTTAAAAGATTCTTTTTATAAGGATCAATTGCATGTAGTAACTTGCATGTAGGTCTGACCAACAAACAAAATGGGTCTATATTTTCATTTACCGTTTTTAAAGACTAAAAGCAGAAGTATTAGTAACGTATTTAAATAATGACAATAATCATAAGGCATTGACTAGGTATAGAAAATAGAGGTAACTTTTTGATCAAAAAAAATAATTTTGCTACATTTTCTGCTTTGCTTCATTTTGCTGAAAATGGGTAGTATTAAAAACTTATGAAGAACAATAACTTAATTTTATTAAAGAAACTATGTTTTTTTTTTCTTACAATCAAATTCAACATTATGAATGTGAAGAAAACCAAAATCAAAATCAACTTGTTACTCTAGTATGCCCACCAGAAAAAGGCTTAAGTAAGAGCTAAAGAACCCATATGAAATATTAATTAAAGATATGTATCATGTTCCCATATATAGTATAAATTAAGATATATTAGAGTATGAAAGATTATACTTTTGGTGAGAATTTAAAAGTTGACAAAAAAAAACGGGGGTGGAATTTTCCAATTCCAAATGTGGTAAGATTATTGTTCGTTAATAAAGAAGTCTCTTGAGCCACTATAAAAAGGTTGAAAGGTAAAAAGTTTGAAAACAGAAAAGAAAAACAGGAACATCTTTGTGTTGTTTTGAAACTAAAACAGGAATATCATTGTTTTTACATACATCAGGTTTACAGTGGTGCGGATGTACATACTCGACTCTTTCACAGTTCACATGGTTAGTTACTGTAATATTTTCTTTTGTAACATATGGACTGTAATATTTGGAAGTAGTAAAGACATAAATGGTGTCGGAGTAACGATAGAGTAGAGATGACCCCCAAAAAAGTTCTACTATATTATTTGGGTGCTCATGAGACCCGACAGCGACAAGCGAGAAAATTGACCTTTTCGGATTTTAATTAACTTTTGTTTTGCTTTTTTTTGAGAAGATGATGTTACTATTAATAACTACGTTTTCTTCTCTGCCGTTAAAATAGCCGTGTACAGAATGTTTACAAAAACGATCACCTAAAATGACGTTTATATTGTAGAGGATTTTATTCATTTATTCAGGTTTACAGTGCTGCAGATATTCTTTTTTTTTTGCTTAAATTTGAAATATTTAGATATTCACACATACAATCTTAAGAAGTTTGTTTGAACATAAATGGTATTGAATTTTAATTCTGCTGTACGTTACTCTGTATATATACTGTAATAAAATAGAGATTCATACGTTAAAGGAGTAATTAATTAGAAAAGGATTACCTGATTAATAAAAGAAATTTAATAAGATAAAGTTAACACAAACTTTGATGTAGCTAGTAAGGAAGGGATCACGTGGACTGACATGCAAATTGAATGTATATGAATACTTAATTAATTATATACTCCGAATATGCATGGGTTTGTGTACACCTCAACTAACTCTTTCTGAATTTAGTTGTGGTAGTATGGTTGTACTAATATTTGTATTAGACACAAAAACAACAATGTCAACTTTTAAAGCCTCATAATATTAGTTAATAGTGAACAAAAGTTTTAAAACCCATAAGTACATAAATATGCGAGAGTGGCTCTTGTCATGGGATCCTAAAACATAGGATTCACTATGTTCAAGCGGCAATTTATATTCTCATTTGTCTTAAGTGTTCACACGGACAGAGATAAATGAGTTAGTAATTTTCTTTTATCAAATGTTCATTTGTATCTTTCATATATATCCATATCATAGCTAGTACGTACAAAAACAGTTTGTTTCCACATGTTAGCACTTACTCTGGCCAAATTCTCTATCTCTCATTAATCATTATCATCATCGTTTGATGTCACTCATTACATAATGTGGTATTGCAAATTAGCATCGGTATAGTTCATTACGGCCACCCTAGTCTAATTCCACATAAACTGCTGTTTAGAGTCTCTTTCATACCGAATCCATGTACGAAGCCATCACGGTCACCAATGCACTTGGGGACGCTTCTTCATTTTTTTTTCTTATTTCATTCCGCAGAGCTGATGAACATTAACAGTGATTAGGCCTGAGATGTATTTTTTAACAAGTGGTTTATAACCGATAATTCTATACGTGTTAGAGCATCTCCAATAGCTCATTATCCCCTTATTTCAAGGGGTATTACATTCCAAAAAATTATCATCTCGTTAATTTTTAAAAGAGTGAATAGTATATCATCAAATATAAAGGATTCAATTCATCCTTTTAAAATATTATTCATTTTTCATTTTATTTCCTTCAAATCCTAATATAAAATCAAATGTTGATATACTCTTTCTGCTAAAAAGTAATTCTATATTTTTTTCATTTTTTTTAATAAGAAAATCTATTAAAATGATCAAAAAATTTAGTATATCTATCTATTTACAAGTTCCACCAGTTCTATTTTAAACCTAATTCTCTTTCCGCTCATGAATCTAAATTTACGCTTTTTTCTTTTTTTTTTCGATTCTTCCATTTTCTCTCAAATCTGTTATTCTTTGATTTTTCTTCCTTTTGTGAAATCCTTTCTCGTCTTCTTCTCAATTATCTTCTTCTTCAAAATAAAATCTGTTTTTTTTTGGTTGGAAATATATTTTCATTTTATTCTCTTTCTCATATCTCTTTTTATTCTTTGAAATATGTTCTTTTTATCTTCTTCTTTTCTTCTTCGAGATATATCCTCTTTCTCTTCTCCTTATCAGCTCTCTTTTTCTGTTCTACTTCTCTCTGCTTTTCCTTTTCTCTTCGATTTATTTTTCTTTTTTAGATTACCTATCAATTTTTCTTATTCTTATTTGATTTTATCTCTTTTGCGTTTTAGATCTTTTCTGCTTTAGATCTGTTATGTTACATGCATTTATGAAAAATGCAAAAGTACAACTACAACTCAGAAACAAAGTTTTACCAAGTTGTACAATCGTTTATTGATAAAACTGTAAAACTTGTAAACCGTAAAACTTTATAAAACTGTAAAACCTGGTAAAACTGTAGAATTTGGTAATACTTTACATGACTATTGAGATATAAAAAATTGAAATTTAAAATTTAATTTAGTTTAGTGGGGGAGTAGATAAATGGTAAAATTAGATTTCTATTATTTCATTAAAAGTACAAGATATGTAGATTTAGTAAGATTATGAGAGAGTAATTTTTATCCATGAAGAATATGAGACTTTTATCCAATTATGTATGTCTCACAATCGCATGGTTAACTTTTTATATATTGTATTTTAATATTTATCCTTATATTTTCTTAAGAATATGTAAATTAAAAAATATTATTAACTATATTTATACTGTTTAAAGTTATACTTGAATACCTATTATTAAATTTGCTCGAAAATATTTTATTTTAATATCTTTTAAATAGTATGTTTTATTGGTTTTTGAAAGTTTAATCATATATTTAATTATCAATAATATTGAGGACTGAAATATAATATATAAAATAAAAATATTTAAGAGCCACCATAGGAGAATATGTAAATTAAAAAATATTATTAACTATATTTATACTGTTTAAAGTTATACTTGAATACCTATTATTAAATTTGCTCGAAAATATTTTATTTTAATATCTTTTTTTTTAACTATTTTTTTTAATATCTTTTAAATAGTATGTTTTATTGGTTTTTGAATGTTTAATCATATATTTAATTGTCAATAATATTGAGGACTGAAATATAATATATAAAAAAAATTTTAAAAATATTTAAGAGCCACCATAGGAGAACCTGCTCCATATCTCCTTATTTTATAGGTGTTTCTCTTTTAAAATAAAAAAGATTGTTGGAGATACTCTTAATCATGATGGATATGTACCCAATGACGAAGCTAAATAGAGAAGAGTAGGTGCCCATGCCTCCATAATATTTTTTAAAATTAGTATATTTTTAACAAATTTGATATATACACCTATACTCATATATAGGTTTACACCTATTCGAGCATTTGTGCACTCATCAAATAAGTTTTTGGATTCACCCGTGTGTGTGAATGACTGCACTTTCTAAACAATCTTATGAAAATGTACACATCTGTTCTAGTTGCTCTATATTGAATATCTCTTGTCAATTTTTTTTAATTTATATAATTAGTTTTTTTCTGGAATTCGAAATTAAAACTTGTAATACAGAATTTGATTAAACCACTAGACTAAGATTATGAACAGTGAAACTCTCGCAAAAAATATCTCAAAACTAAAATAATATATTAAATAAAAAATAGGAAATAGATGAAAAGAATAAAATATTGTAAAAAAACTATTCTCATTAGATAAACTCTTCATTTGGTTCAAGACTTTTAGAATATCTCCATGTTCATTTCATATTTCACTATAAAATAGAATTTGTAGTAAGAAATGCTCAAACTCCATTCAATTTTCCACTCAGTAATAGAGTAAAAATAAATTTTCTTAATAAATAAAATATTACACTTTTTGTTCATTATTATATTTTTGCTCTAATATAAAATAAGAATGAAATAAAACCAATTTCATTATGAAATTACTCCATTTTAGAGAAAAATGAATTTTACGAGATGTTCTTAAACAAATTGGTAACTATCGCTCGCGGAATCTCGGAAATAATAGTTAAGCTACGAAAAAATTAATTAAGTCACAGGAAAAACTAAAATTCGCAGAATGGTAGAATACATATTAAACTGATTAAAATATTTTATATGGTTTTTAATTCGTTATAGTAAAAAAAAAAATATCAATAATTAAACTAATTATACTAATTATTACAATATATGAAAACAACTAATATTTATTAAAAAACAATTTAGTTCTTAATGTAAATATCCAGCTTATCTTTCAATACGTTTTAATAATAGATTGACATTTGATAACATAAAATTTATAATAAAAAAATATTTACCATATAACTATTTATCATTAAAAATTATTCCTATGTATTTTAAAANAATACGTTTTAATAATAGATTGACATTTGATAACATAAAATTTATAATAAAAAAATATTTACCATATAACTATTTATCATTAAAAATTATTCCTATGTATTTTAAAATTTACGATAGTATTAACATACAATTTAAAAATATGAAAGTGTTGATTTTGTAAAATTTTCCACCATAATCGAATAAAACTCACTTTTGTACTTAACAAAATTTCTCTTTATATTTTTGTCAGCAAAAACGCAGATTTGCATTTTTCTTTCATTCCGTAATATATTGTTGATTGGTAAAATATTTGCGGAATCGCATTTCACACGCAAATTCTGCCATTATGCAAGGTTACCAATCAAAGGCAAAGTGTTTTTTTCAATTAGCTTAATTTACTTTTATTTAAATTTTCGTTATCGTAAATTATATATTAACATCATATATTTAAGATACTCTGGTGAGATATGCATTGCTCTCTGCTGATGCTCTAAGGGATACATTAATCTCGAAGCACTATAGTTTCAGCCATGAAAACACATGTATTCTTCGCCAGAGAAAAAGATAACCACCTTGCCACATTTGGCGAGTAGAGTTCGTGTTAGATTACGTTTAGAGTGGGATTAGTTTTGCAAATTTTTTTTAATAAATCAAATGTACTTCATTTCCACAAGTATAGCGCTATTCTTTACAATAACTTTCTTTGTTATTGTAATTTTCAACTTTAGAGTTCGGACAATTCACTTTTAAGTAGTTGTCAGATGTCTGTGCAAGAAAACAGAGAATGACAAAGACAAGATGTAGTTTTCAATTGCATAACACCCAAGTTTCTTTTGCTTGCATAGTAACATTTCCAAGAAAACCGAATAATTAAATCCTAACAATTATTACGTACCAGCCGCACATTTGCTCTGATACTTCTGCCATAGGTTTTGTAAGTGACAGTAGAAATGAAAAAGAGGTAAGAAACAACTATACTACCATTGTACCGACACATATATAGTACAATGGTTTTAGCCCTACCGATATAATGTCTGAGATACCGTCAAGAAACTATCAAAGACGAGATGAATGCTTTACCCTGTTTATGTTTTCTTCTCAGTCTTTTCACATAAACACTACAAAAAGATCCAAAACGATTTATCTCTTCAATGTTTCTGTCGTGTTAACCATATCTCTAAGAGAAGCGAGCATCATCATGATGATTACTATTCCTAATAATGTTACAATCCAACAAGGCTTGAATCAAAAGCCACGATAGCACCAAAGCACGCGAATCAAAAGACGATTCCCCACCTATTCGACTCCAAACTTACTACAACGATGCAGATTCTTGGAAATCTCCATCAATACAACACAACAAAACCTAAAGAAAGGATAAAACTAGTAGTACCCAATACATCAAAACCCAAAACCATTAACGTGTCCAAATTGTGATCTTCTGACAACCATTAACGAAAAGAAAGTATGAAAGTACCATAACAAGTAGTGTCGTGGTGGATCACCTTCCTCTTGATAGCGCATCCTCTAACTCTTCAACCGAAGAAGGGAACAGTTCTATGTACCGGCTCCCAAGCATCTTCCTGTCCTTAACCATCGCAGCTCTCGATTCTTCACCGCCCCTAAACTCGACAAACGCGTCTCCAGTGGGTCTCCCTTCACCATTGACAGTAACATGAACAGAGTCTTCAGACAGATCAAAATCTTTGAAGAAGTCAAGTATGTCTTCCTTCCCTGCCGAGAAAGGCAACCCTCTCAATCTCAAGATACCCGTATGCTCAGCATTCTCTTTCCCATCATCACTCGACCTAGCTCTCTGCACGTGTCTACGAGGTGAATGTCCACCTCTTCCACCACCTCCACCTCCACCGTCGCCACCACCACCAGTAACCGTACCATGGACACGAGACTCCGCAACCTCATTAGCAATAGCCTTATAATACTCTTGCTTGGTACTTCTAAAAACCTCCACATATCTCCTGCCCATGTTCTGCCTGTTCTTATGTAACGCGAAATCGACCTGGAGAGGAACACCAAGAACACAAAAGGCTTCACCAGTGACCTTATTGTTCTTGTGAACAAACAAGACGTCAACCACATCTAAGCCACGGAAGAACTCCACAACGTCGAGCTCAGCGCAATCAAACGGCAGGCCACGGAGTCTAACCACAGGGAAAACAGGAGGAGGAGTAGCGTATCCGTAAGGGTTAAACATAAAGGCAGAACCAGGATGAGGTCCATAGAATGTTCCTGGAGGAGGAGGAGCTTGTTCTATCATTCTTTGTCGCTTAGGCCCCATTTCACGCCCATCACGACTATCTCCATATCTAAAAAATCAAACATCTTGGAAAATTAAAACACTATAATCCATGGATTAACAGTTTCTTCCTACATTTTACCAATATAGATTGATTGCAGACTGAAAATTTCAGACCGAACAGACCAATTAAGACACTATCTATATGGATAAACAGTTTCAGAGGATTTCAGATCGAGAATTTCGGACTAAACAGTACAAATGTAATGAAATTGAAGCAGATTAAACTTCACCACGAGCTGAATTGAAGTGATTCTTAGGTATGAATCGAGCCCGGTGACAATAAAACCCTAATTGCGGAAGCTAAGGGAATCAGATCATTGAGATACAAAAAAGAAGCGGAGATGAGATTGGGGGTTTACCCTCTGTAGAACATTGTGGCGTGAGGGAAGTATCTCCGGTGTCGCCTTTTCTGGATGATCAAATCGATTGGAACTTTTGCTTTTCGAATTTGGAATCGCAGCTCAATGGAAGAACCGTACAAATTTAAAATGTTTTTGGGAGAAATTAAACTAAACTGGGCCTTTGTTCTTGGGCCGAGTGTTTAAGGCGTTCGCCTTTAAGTGAATAGGCTCTAGTAAAAATAGTCTTTGATTATTTTCCCATACCAAAAGATTTACAAGTATTTTATTTTTGAATAATTCTTGGGTTCACGAACCAATGAGATTACATTATTTTATATTCTGTATCTTTTAAAAAAAGAAACAAAATATTATCGAGTTATATTATATTTTTAAATTTAAAGACAAAATAAATAAAAAATAATAGAAGTTGCAAAAAAAAATTAAAAAAATTAAATATTATTATCAAAACACTAAACCCTAAATCTTAAACCTTAAAACTCTTATGTAAACCATGAACTCTTGGATACATTCTTGATATTTTTAAAAAATATTTTTAATACCGTCAGCAAAACACTAAACCCAAAATCTTAGGATAAACTCCAAATCCAAGGTTTTTTGGATAAACCCTAGGGTTTAAGATTAATCCAAGGTTTTAGGATTTATCTAAGAGTTTAGTGTTTTGGTGACAGTATTCAAAATATTTTTTTAAAAAAGAAATTTTGTTTGTAACTACTATTTTTATATTTTAATTTTAAAAATATAATATAATTTGATAATACTTTGTTTTCCTTTTTAAAAAATTCTGAATATGAAATAATGAATCACTGTAGGGATGAACCCATGAATTTCTCTTTTATTTTAGTACTTACACACCTGTCAGTAGTCTCAGAGAATGATGTGAAACAGTGTTTAGCCATGATATAAATCAAAGAGAATGATATATTCACCACCTTAAAGGGCTTAAGCAATATGTATGTTGCAATTAGGCATGGGTATGTATTCAATCGGTTCGGTTCAGACTGAATTAGGTTTCGATTCTTCGAGAGTATGTTTAGACTCATTTGGATATTATTAAGTTCAGTTTAAGTTTTACCTCAGTTTTACGAATGCAAATAACACATCACAAATCTAATTGAATCAATTCTAAATTTGGGTTTGATCTCATGATTAAATTATCATCAAAACACTTGTTTGTGACTCGATAGTACACATTTGAGTGTACAAATTTGAAAAGTCCAAATAATTTACACTAACAAAGACTTGATAGCATAATTAAGAAGTGATTATTAAGAAGAGCCAAACATAATCAATCTAAAACTCACAATTAAAAACTCTGTTAACGTAACAAACATCATCTAAATTCAAAAACAAACTGACATTATTGAAACTTCAGAATAAAAATTATCGTAATAAATTTTCAGATGCATTTAGTATAACATAAAAATCCCAATATTTGACCAAATACCAAAAATATACATTAAACTAAGGATTCAAATTAATTATTCACGTTATGATTACTTACTGAAATATTTGAGTATTGTGGATACTTGTTCAAAGTTAGATTTGGTATGAAATTTGTTGAAGGGTTTTGGAATATCATTTCAGGTGTGTGTTCGGGTAACACCCAAAACTCAAAATATCTTAAAACAATATTCATTGGGATTCAATTCAGATTAGGTGGATCGGTTCAAATTTTTGAGTTTGTTTTTTTTTTGCTCACCCCTATTAATTAGTTAATAGGTGAACATAATTAAGATTGACAAAATTTTAGTATTAATTTTTGGATATGTAAATATACCTTTACAAAAGAAAAACCTTTAAGTTGTATGTTTTCCTTATTTTCTTTGTTTGTCACTATATTTCAATTTTTCTTGTACAATGATATACAGTTTTGTAGAATGAAACAATTTGTAAAAATGATACAATTCAGTTTTATTCAATTGTCTTTGTAGAAGTTCATAAAACTTAACATATTATAGTTAAAATTCAAATAAACATATTATACAATTTAGAGGTACACCAGTAGACTTTTTGTTGAAAACTCATAAAACAACATCATGGTCAATCCCAAAGCAACTAGTTTAGAAGAACATACAGACATGCACTTTACAAAGATAACATAAAATAATATGAAATGAAATTGACATGAGGTGCATACATAGATAAAAATGTCTGAAAAGAGACAAAAAGGATACATAAAAGACGAGAGGTTGAAATTTGAAAGAATGCACTTATGCAATAGCAAAAAGGTCCAAATACAAAAATATGCACACTCGTGCTTGCTCGGGAAGATCTCCTGCTTCGCTTATAATCTAATAGTAGCATGTCCTCTTAATTATTATACATTTGGCATCAATCTTTCTGAGTTCACACATTGCGACCACTGCAGTTTCTGTTCAAAGTTCAAACCCACTAATGTTGACCCTCGTTGATCTTACTATGTCATTAATTAATATGAGAAACCAAAACAATTTAACTTTTATTCTTTAAAACAAAAATCTTATGGAAAAATAATGTATTAGTAAGAGAACTATGTTTCTCTTTAGAGTATACCAATCTTCTAGATCAAAAATCCACCGTTAAACTATATATTCCATATGTTCCTAAATATAAGATGTTTAGGTAATGTTCAAGAACTCACTAGGCGTTACGTATACGGTTGGATATGGCGTTACGTATACGGTTGGATAGGGCCTAGCGCCGAATCACTATAATATTATTTGAGAAGTCAGTTTCTTATGTGGCGCGCTCACGTTAACTCTCGCGATGGTTGATTACTTAGATATCCTTAATAAATTTTTAGATTTTTAGATTATTATTTTTATTTAGTTTCTTTTTTACCTTTTTCCAAATAACATATATAATAAAAAGGAATATTTCTAAACTTTTTTAAAACATTAAAAACGAATATACATGTATATAATATTATTTTATTAAAAAGAAAAGTTCACAAAATAGTAATACTCCCAATTAATATATATTTTTAAATAACATAAAATATATTTTCAAAATAATAAAAATATATATGTTCATGAACATCCAAAAATTTATCAGTTATACTTTAATATTTTTTAGAAATCAACATATAATTTGATAAATATTATGAAAATACATGTATATATAAGCGATAAATAAAACTAAGTTGATTTGATTTAACTAAAATATAGACTAAATAAATATTATGAAAATACATGTATATTTAAGCAACAAATAAAACTAACTTGATTTGACTTAACTAAAATAAAAAGTAACTATACTTCAATTTTAATTTTAAAATATATTTAACTCAATATACTCACAAAATGAATGACTCGACTAATATAATTTATATCCAAAATTAGACATCTAACTACAATAAGAACATATAATTTTCTAATAATAATAATAATAATAATAATAATAATAATAATAATAATAATAATAATAATAATAAGAATCTATTTAATTTTATACATATAAATTAGAGGTTGACTCAAATCATATTAAAATTAAAAAGAAATATTAACCCATTACAATTTAATTCTTTTTAACATTTATATATATGCATGAGATTTCAAAATATTATCATTATATTCATTTATGTAATTTTGAATCAAACACTGCAACTTATTATTTATTTCATTTTAAGCACAATATATATATTAAGTTATACATAATTTAACTATAGTATATTTACATATCTAAGAATATATTTACATATGTTTTTCTGGTCAAAAAATATATTTACATATCTAAGTACAATAACCAACCGAAATGAAAATAAGAAAATTAATCAATATTTTATTATATTTAGAATACAAAATACTATAGCTGAATTCAAAAAAATAGATATTATCAAATATGCCGAATTGATAACCAAACCGACTATTGATCCAAAAAGTAACTAAACCGACAATAATATATCCAAAGTCATATGTATAATTATAATAATGTAATATTTATTAATATAAATTATACATATAAATTGATTCAAAACTAAAATTAAATATCATTCAATTATTATAAAGTTTTACTTTTATGAATATTCATATCCGTGCATGAGCACGGGAAAATCACTTAGTTAGTTAATTAAAGATTAATCGAATTAGTTAATCGGTGATTAATCAAAGATTAGTTTTATAACTTTTATACATGTTTATGACTTTATATATGAATAATGCGTACATTAAGCACTGTTGTAATGTAGTCTAGTGGTTAGTAGCAATCAATTTTAATATGTTGGATCTGGATTCGAACATAGTAAGGCCCGTTTTATACTTTCTTATAAACGATTAGGTTAAATAAAGGAAAAGAAAGGTGAAATAAACGATTAGGTTAAATAAAGGAAAAGAAAGATTAAGCTTGTATTCAACCTCTTAGGTTAAATAAAGGAAAAGAAAGATTAGCCTTGTCTTCAACCTCTACGTCTGCGAGTTTTCTCTAACTTCCCAGCTGTTTTTCATTTTTCAATTTCACTAATATTTCTTGTTATTTTTGTATGTTTTGATCACTATATATCAAATCTAACACACACATACGATTTGAAACTTAAAATCTTCCAAAACAGTGAACTTTTTTATTTTTTGATTTTCTCACTGATTACCATCAAATCGCTGCGGTTAGGCGATAAATCGGTCGCCTAACCCGTGTAAAACACACATATTAAAAAAAATTCTTTTTATCTAGAAAGTATCACTAAAACTATAAATCATTAATATTCAACTAATTATAAATAGATTGTTAAATATGATTGGGTATACAGCTTTTAATAAAGTAAAAATTACCTAAAAATGAAAAATATTTAATATATTGAAACATCAAAATTCTTTAAAACATCTTATGTTTAGGAACGGATGTAGTAGAACATAAACTAATCGATACTGAAATGGTAAAATATGAATCATGACCCACTATATTGACGCAATTTTGTTACATTTTAAAATATTTGTAATAGTGTAAAAACTGATTAAATACTTATATATAAAAGTATTAACCATACATATTTTCATATGGAATAACTACGTTATAGAGTCTATCTACCTCAGCAGTTAGGTGATCGTATGAATCTAGTGGTTGTAGTAGCTGGTCTTCTTATTACTCGGTGTATAACATCTGAAGACGCTAGGGCAAGTTGCTGCAACATTTTAATTTGATTACTACCTGAAGTCATGTCAATGAGTTAAATAAAGATTTGGAGTTCCCAAGAAATATGTTTCTGAAGCCGAGCCGACATGGAGATGAGACCACCAACGCAAGTGCTGTCTTAGATCACGACCGTCTCATTTTCCAACGCGATCAATCTCCCCCACAAAACCAAAATATGTTTATCAACTCTTGATTCGATGTTTTCTCTCTTACATACATTTTGTAATTCACTGTTAGACATTGAAGGAGACAAACTTTTATCCTTGATTCCCGATCTTGTCCATTTTATTTGATCCTTTCCATACTCTGTCGATCTGTCTAATGGACTCTTGAATTTGCTGAGAGACTAAAGCTTTCTGCTCAAACTAAAGCATTAACTATATATGAACTATACAATATTAAATCTAAAACATCGTATGAATGAATTTAAATCAATCAATGATCTTAACCAAAAGACTCAAAACACTCTATTGCATGTTAGCGACAAACCAGATACCATTTGTGAAAAATCAGTTTGATCTAATAATACATATGTATATACATTAGTTTACGAATGATTGTTAGATCTGATATCATTTACAAACAAAAAAACATTAGATCTGATTAAACGTGATCATTTTTTACTACCAAAATGTTTTAGGCTCTTCACTGATAATTCTTATCGAATCATGTAAATTAATCTCCTCCCTAACATCAAAACCCGCAGATGTAATCCTGAGGTGCATTTTTTTTTTCAGAAAGTCCCTTGATACACCAATAAAACTACAATACATACTACAGTGGTTTAACCCGATCTTAATTATAAGTATCCCTATTTTGTGACAATATTTTTTTTTAGTAATACTTTATTGCTTAAGCTTACATCTATGGTTATTTCATTGAGATTTAATAATTGACTTTATGATAACAAATACATGCGTGCACTTCGAGTACCAAGGTAGTAAGTCTCCTTTTTCATGCTTCAAACTTTCTATTTGTTTCTTTTCTTCCTACCACCTTCTCCGTACCCTTTTTCTATTAAATTACATTTGCTACTTCCACCGCTTTGTCACATGATGTATACACTCATACACGCCCACGTATTCATATGTACATGCATATATATCATTCTTTGCCCTCTTAACACAAACACATCATCTACAGATATCGTACCTTTTCTTATTCCCTCTGTCTTCTCTTCAAAGTAATGTCTGATCCAGCTTGTATTTTCAACAATGGCTTTGTCGAATGCTATGACTATAGCTTCAATTATTCTACTTCTCTCTCACACATCTACAACTCTAACGGCAGCTTTTATTACCCTAGCAACACCACAGATATAAACCCTATTTCTACTTTACCCGACTCTCCTCCACTTAGAGAAGCTCTTCCTCTCCTTAGCTTAAGTCCCATCCATAAGCAGCAAGAAGATACCGCTCCTCCTCATGAATACTATTTCATGGAGACGACCGAAAACTCTTCTAATTCAAACTTTCTTGATCATGATTTTGATCAATGCCAAGAAAGTACTCATCATCATGATGTGACCGTGGATCTCCATCTAGGGTTGCCAAACCCTGGTGGTGACGCTATTGCTTACGGGGGTGGTGGGAGCAGCAGCAGCGATCCCATCCTTGATTCTACCAACCAAGAGCATCCTCACGATCTTCATCAATATCTAGGAATAGAGGTTACAGTTGCTTCTGATCATCATGGTGGTGTACAAAGGGGTAGTCAGAATCACTATTGGATCCCTACTCCTTCTCAGATTCTCATGGGTCCTACACAGTTCTCTTGTCATCTCTGCTACAAGACCTTCAACAGATACAATAACATGCAGGTAGTGATATAATCATCCAATAAATCTAACTCTAGATTTCCTACTTTCCCTAAAATGAATTTCAAATTTGGCTTTTTCATTTTTGTTCTTGAAAATGGATCTAAATATATTCACTTTCCTTATTTTTTCTTTGAGTAATAATATCCATAATTTTCTCAAATCTTCATCATGAGAAAATCTCTAGCACACACTATGACTTTATCATAATAGTTGCTACTCCTACTAGTATAGAATCGAGAATAACTTTTCATTTGATGGTACGAGTCATCGCTGTACGATTGATGGCTATGAGAAGATCAACTTAAATCAATCAGTGGGTTTAAAATCAAGGAGATCTTCTTTAACCAGTAGTCATTCTACACTGACTCCTTCTAACCCTAAAATATGTTTAGTCATTTTTTTTTTTGACAAATAAGATATGATTAGTCTTCCTTTTCCATTTTTGTTCACTCTTGAATTTTGCGCAGTTCTACTACAGAACACTCATTACCCTAAAAGAAAATAGAATAAGATAAATGTCTTGCAGATGTTTTTAATAACTCTTATATCTTTATACTACATATATTTATTTATGTCTATTAACCCTACGCAATCATACATGGTTAGACCTCAAAATCATATTCACTTTTGTGCAAGTAGTCAAGAGAATATGATCTAAAAGTACATGAACTACTAAATGATTAGCGTAAGACTATATATAAAGTTATACAATATCTTAAATTATATGGAGTTTTTGCAAGTCTTACACTACACTGGTCTGAAATAAATTCAGCTGGTCTATTTGGTCAGTAATATTACACTATACTGTCACACTTGCATTTCGAGATTAGTTTTGGAGTTTAATCTGAAACTAGAATTTAACTCGCGCTACATATTTATAAAATTTAATATGGTTGAGAGATTTTTATTCATTTTATAAAATTGTTAAACCCTATTTATTTATTACTATACAGACTTTAAATTTATTGTGTTAAATATAAATTACTATTTCATTTCCTTAGTTCTAAAGATCTTTTGTACTGATTATACCAATGAAGTACTTTGAATTTGAATGGATTCATATTTAAATTTAAAACTATAATTGAAAATCTGTTTATTTTGATATCTAATATTTGTATCTTATTACAATTAAGAAAATCTAATATATGATTTGGTAAATGTCAACAGGTTTGTAGATATCATTAGAAGATAATAAGGTAGACTAAACTTTGTATTAATATATTTTGAATAGGTTCAAACTTTAAATACAATCTTGTTTAAGTGGATAAAAATTATGACTCTATTTTAATAGAGTAGAAATTATGTTTGATCACAAAAGAAAATAAATAATTAAGAGCTATGCGCATGAACTAAAGTATTTAACGTTTACACATTTTAATTTTTAAACCGAATCAGATGCACATGTGGGGACATGGCTCAGAATACAGAAAAGGACCTGAGTCACTAAGAGGGACACAACCAACAGGGATGCTGAAGCTGCCTTGCTACTGCTGCGCACCTGGCTGCAAGAACAACATTGAGCACCCAAGGGCAAGGCCGCTCAAGGACTTTCGTACACTCCAGACACATTACAAGCGGAAACACGGTGCGAGGCCCTTTGCTTGTCGTAGATGTGGAAAGGCATTTGCGGTCAAAGGAGACTGGAGGACGCACGAAAAGAACTGTGGGAAGCTTTGGTATTGCTCATGTGGCTCGGATTTCAAGCACAAGAGGTCGCTTAAGGATCACGTCAAGGCCTTTGGTAATGGTCATGTCCCTTGTTTTGGCATTGATAGCTTCGGCGATCATGAGGATGAGGAGGCTGCTTCTGATCTTGAACAGCAAGAATGACCGTATCATGAGGATAAGGTCTTCGTTATAGGACGTCTTTTCATATGAGTGAACTAAAATGCATTTTCTTATCATGAGTTTTATTCACGTGCATCAGTACTCTAGTGTATTAATTTTCAGAATTTATAATATAGTGAATTTGGTGAAAACCACAAAAAAAAAAAAAAAAAACAGGTATGTTGAAGAACAATCAGATTTACCAAACATTGAAAGTAGCCTCTGAGAACAGTTAACATATGCCCTTCATATTTTTGTTTTCATTCTCGATATCTTGAAACATTTACCTAATGTTTTACCAAAGAAAAAACATTTACTTAATGATCTATATTAACAAACCAACCGAAAACTAGTATGAATCCATAGTAATGGACCTGCAAAATCTTACCCACTCTCACTTTTCTCTTAATATTTGCGTCTCCTATGTTTGTAATTTAATTTTCCTTAAAGTGATGTGATTTTAATTTGTAAAAATATAGAAAAGATTATGAAAATTGAATAAAATACATTAGTTTGTCAAGTATCAATATGATACCAAGATTTCTAAATTTCCAATAAGTTACATAATAAAAATTTTGTGATTCTGCGAATATATAACTCCAATAAATTACATAAATGTGTTAATTTTTACAAGCAAAATTTGTTTTCTGTTAAATTCTCTAAGAACCATACAATCTTCTTCTCTATTAAAAGAGAAGTACCAAATTTATCTACTATTTAAAAATCATGTTGGAGCATGTTAATAGTTATTTAATATGACATATTTGATTGTTACTTAACCAATCAAATATATATTATTTTCAAAATATCTTAATAATTAATAAGAATATTAATAATAAATCTATTTAAATATAACAAAATCCGTTGAAAAAATCTAAAAATATCTTACCAAAAATTTTAAATATTTTTTATATAAAATAAGTATTTCTTTACTTTGTTATTAAATATAATTGTAAATTAACTTTAATTAAAAATAAAATATAAATAATATATTTAAAAAGTTTAGCTATATATTTATAAAATAAATAATACCTGCACGGATGTGTGGGTCAAAATCTAGTTTCGGTGTTTAAATAAAAAAGAAGATTCAGTTTAAGGGACTTAATATTATTAACTCAAAGTTTGTGACCCTTTTCGTAAAGTCTTGTGAAGTTTTTAGTAATTTCCGAAATTATAGTATTGGTTTAGCCGGTTTGTAGATGGAGGTCCGGTTCATATAGACCCGAGATAAATCGGGGTCAACAACATAAACCAGGCGGAGGAGAAAGAAGAAGAAGAAGATGAGGAAAGGTTAGGTAGAAAACGAGAAGCACGCACGCACGCAAGGGGTGGTCAGGCAGGCATCATAATAAGCTCACTCACTTAGGCTAAGAATCTGCAGAGAAAAGCCAAATGGATTAAGGTTTTCCATCGATTTACCCCCAAAACTATCTCTTCCTTCTCCATCAGATATTCTCCTCGTCTCCGTCTTCATATACACATTCTTCGTCTTTGTGTATTTGTTATCTTCTGAGTAGCTGCGCGATTAAGAAGGTCTTTCCTGTTCGATTCCGTTAAAGATAAAATCGATGGATTCGCAGATGCTCGTGGCGCTTGGACTCTCCCTTGTGGGTGGATTAAGTACTTCTTTAGGTGAGTCTAGTCTATTATATTGTAGCTGCTGCTTTTTTCTGAGTTTTAGAATTCATTGTTTTCGATCGTGTTTAGATGATGAATGATATGATTCTTTGCCTTTTGTTTACTATCTGTTTGGTGATTGTATTTTGTCAATAGCTTGTAGGATCATCACTGCTTATTCTGTTATTGTAGTTGTGCCCTGATATTGTGGCTTGAATCTTTCAGAATGTTATAGATATGCAAAGCTGATCTTGTGTTCAATACATTTTTAGCTTCCTAGATATGAAATTATCGTACATCTTGTTTCTGTTACTTAGCACCAGAGGCTCAGAGTTATTGGTCCATATAATTGGGCTTTTTTCATGTTACATTTCGCAGGTGCGCTTTTCGTAGTTCTTAGTGAGACTCCCAATATGAAGATGCTTGGACTTCTTCAGGTGATGACTCTACATCTCATTTCAACTTTTAATATCATACAAGAAGCCTTCTGTTTTGTTTTATTGGTCATAAGCTCTTATTATATATAAAGCCATTGGATGTTCATTTTGTTATCTCATCATTGCTAGATTCTCTTGTCTTCAATTTTTATAGGGTGCTAGTTACCAAAGATGACCAATATTCTTTCCTATCACTTAGAGAACTTTTGATTGATATTCTTGGTTATTTATCTGATGATATTAAGTTCTTTCTTCAGGGTTTTGCGGCAGGTCTGATGTTGAGCATATCCTTCCTGGATTTGGCTCATAATGCTATAAACTCTATTGGCTTCTTAAAAGGCAATCTCTGGGTTAGTACTTCTGTCTCCATATTGCACCTCAGTGGGTTTGTTATACTTCTTCTTCACACTGAAAGTAATATAGTTTTCTAGTGATGCAGTTTTTTGGTGGTGTGATATTCTTTGCGTGTATTGCCAAATTCATCCCGGAACCAACACTTGCTCCTTCTACTGACGGGAAAAGAAGAAAGGTAAGAATACAGTGTCCTCCCAAGACTTTCTGTCCGAAATGATGTGGCTCTGTTGTATCATGAATAACAACTTTGCTTATTTGTTGATAACAGAAAAACGGAGACGAGGGAGGTAAGGACATGGTGAAGAAGCATCGTCGTCAAGTCTTATACAGTGGAATTGTTACAGCTATTGGTATACCAACTTTCACTTCCATTTCTTTCATTTGTTGATATCTTATCTTCCGAGTTTGGGTCATTGGGTCCATTTAGTTTAATCTGTAATTTGATGGCTAGATGTATCGACAATGACTCCTCAAAACTATTGCATCAATGTGAACTTGGGAATTTGAACTCTTCATTTTAGCAAACTAGTCAATATATTACTGCACAATAATGTGAAAGACATAATGATTTGTGTGTTTTTTCAATCAGGACTTATCATGGACGTCTATATTTTTCTTGATCTTAATGTTAGTTATGAAGCTTCACTGTTTATCTAACCTCTTAATGTATATCTTTCACTTTGAACTGTAGGAATAAGCTTGCACAATTTCCCAGAAGGGATGGCCGTATTTCTCGGATCAATTAAGGTGAAGATTAAGTGAAAGATAAAAGTTTCAGAGAACATGCCTTCTAAAAAATTCTGGTCTCTCTATGCTCTCTGATAACCTGCATCACCAGCGTATTAATATCATTCTTTGCTTGTTGGATTCTGCTTCACAGGGCATGCGAGTTGGTGTTAATCTGGCTTTGGCAATCGCTTTACACAACATTCCTGAGGTACAGATTCGCAAACCATAAGAAATGTTCGAAGGCTGTCATATTGACCGACTTACATAACTCATCTTATTAAAAGAAACCTAGAAATAGTATCATGTTGTATTCTTTCTGCTGCGCTTCCTGTTTACTGTCTATTTTCCACTGTAAACTAATCTCGAAAACCAGTAAAAAACTAGATTTGTTCATTTCTCTGATTTGATATGCTTATTTTGCTGCTGCGGTGTGTTATTTTCAGGGTGTTGCGGTTGCTCTTCCTATATATTTTGCAACAGAGAGGTAAGAACATGTTGCATATGGATTCACATTTATACCGTATAATACCCCGGGGTTCTTATCCATTCCAAATCGTTATTATGCATGTAACAGCAAATGGCAGGCATTCAAATTGGCAACACTCTCTGGTCTAGCTGAGCCTCTAGGTGTCATTATCGTGGGTAAGTTTGCATTGGGTTTCTTTGTTGATGCATGCTTCTTCTTTCTGTACAATTACCTGTTCTATTGAGAGTTTCGAAAGAGTATCTTAAAATTGATACATCTTCCTTACAATGCAGCTTATCTATTTCCGAGCAGCTTGAGTCCAGAAATCCTTGAAGGCTTGTTGGGAGCAGGTAAGTAGAAACTCTGCAGCAAAATCGATACTTAATAGATAAAAACCGCTGGACCTAAACAATTCAATACAAATTTGTTGTTTGTTGCATGATGCAGTTGGTGGAATCATGGCATTCCTAACTTTGCACGAAATGCTTCCTTTAGCATTTGATTATGCTGGACAGAAACAAGCTGTGAAGGCTGTGTTTGTCGGTATGGCTTGTATGTCTGCAAGGTGAAACCTGAAAACAAAGCTTTGAAAATAGTACTTGCTTGCGTCCTTAGTTTATAATTTTTGACGATATGTTTGTCTCTGTTGTTGCAGTCTTTACTTTCTGGAGCTGAGCTTGCCTGAGTCAATGAGCTAGTAGTTTAAATTATGTCATGTCTGCAATAATTACCTCAAAGACAGAAATGAGTCTCTGGACTATAGTCTCATTCTATCTGTGAAAACAATAGGATCTGTAAACAGTTGAGTATTCGTTTTTAATTCAAAAGGAATAATATCTTTTTAACATCCTCTTTAACAGTAATTCAGAGTTTTCACAAAATATAATCTTTGCCAATTTCTGGCAAAAATAGAAGTTTTTTTATTTAGGTGTCATTCAAGAATCCAAGAACGATAATAGCTCTAGTGTATATTTACCACTTATTCATTCCTCAAATTAGCAACAAAAACTAGAGAATCATGTCTTGCTAATTAATGGCAGATCTTGAAACTCTCTTTTCTCCTTCTAGTTTTTGTTATGTTATAAATGCCTTCAACCACCTTCACCTTTAAGGCCATCACCTAAAGAAACACAACAAACATCCAAAAAAAATACCCAAGAAAATAATGGAAATGAACAACGTCAACAAGTTCTTTGTCGCTCTTTTTGTCTCGGCTGTGTTAATGAGCTCAGCCACCTCGGCTACCATGGAGTCTCCAGCACCAGCACCAGGTGCTTCCTCCGCCACCGTGGCTTTTCCGGTGGTTGGCTCCATCGTTGCTGCGTCACTCTCTGCCTTCTTGGCCATTCTCTTGCAGTAGAGAGATGTTGTGGAGGGGCTTCTAAGAGACAGAGCAAAACTCTTTGTTGTTTTCGTTCTGATTTATTTCTTCGAATCTATGTTAAATAATTTTGCCAAGTAACCCATTTTGATGTATAATACCATTGTGTAAGTTATTACACTAATATTTATATGAGTATGATAATAATACCATTATCCTATATAAATCTGATCAATATATTCATTGCTTTTCGATCAATGACTGTCTTTAATCCACACACAATGGTTGGTTATAAGAAAAAAGTAGTGGTTAATGTTTGTTTTGCAAGGATTGGTTTCATCATCATTTTGCTTTTTCTTTACATTCATGAGACTTTTGGTTAGCCAAATAGCGGTTTCTCTTGATGAAACTGTTTCATCTCCAAAAGGCTTTAAGACTCCTTCAAGCTCATCGAACTTCTCTTGCCTAAGTAAACCTGCACAAAGCTCCAACAAGGATTCCAATGCTTCTGCTCTCTCCTCGCTTTTCGGAGTCTTCTTCTGATATTCTCGTAGTAGCGTTAATGTGCTAAGCAGTGACATCTCTTGTGTCTTTTCTGGCTTCTCTTTGTCTTTTGAACTTGAATTTTTATTCTTGTCTTTCTTCTCTTTCTCCTCTGCTTCTTCTTTTATTGCTTGATGATTTTTCATGGGCGTTTTAGTGGATTTTGCAGTGCCTGTCCTCGGGGGAAGACGAGTCTCGCCTGTTCTGTTTAGGTGGGTGTTGTGTTCTGTTTTGGATACAACCGGTTTAAAACCCGGAGACAAGTTTTGGCATTGTGCAAGATATGGCTGTAAGTGAGGATGTTTTAACAGTTCAGCAGCCTATATAACATACATCAATACTATTAAAAGAGGATCATGACCAAATGATAAATATTATGTCTAATTATATTTCTCACTTTTTACTAACTAACTGCCATTAATCACAATAAATATACCTATTACGTAATTTTCAGTCTATTATAACTTTCCCTTACTTCCTATACTTTAGGGATCCACTAGGTGTTGACCCGCGCCCTGCGCGGGGTGAGATTATTTTGACTTTGATCGAACAATAATTTGGTATATTAATTTGTTTAACTAAAAATAGGTAGTGGATGTGAATTAGTAATAAAAATCATATAGTCATATAATGAGATATTAGTATAGCTGCGAAACGAAGCATTGATTCATAGCTATTTGTTTTCAATTTTTGTCTTATATATCTGTTTGTCTTATAGATACATGATGATACAAAAAAATTAAGAAATCGTCTACTAAAAAAAGTAGTAAATAAATTAAAATAATTAATATCATAATAAAACATAGAGAAACAAAACATGATATAATGAGAAAAAAGTATATTAAAATAAAATAATAAATAGAAAATTAAACATGATATAATAATTTAAATTGTCTTCAAAACTCTTGGTTTGCAATCCTACATACAAAAATAACAATTAGTTAGTTTACAAAACAACACACACTCTTTTAATATTTTAAACTCATCGAAATGATATACTTCTTCCTCAATGCATGGAGTTCTGGAACATCATCTGGTTCAAAAATGATTTTTGAAAAGCCATCGATGTTTGAGATATTCTTCAATTTTCCTTATCATTATTAAACAAAAAAAAATTATTAGCTATTTTCTAATGTGATATAAAATTAAA